GTACAAATCGATTTCCATGCTTGTGAGAAGAATTCTCGATTTCCACCCGTTTTCCATGGTCATGAGAGGAATTCTTGCAATCGTTTCTTGTTGCGAATTCTAACTTATAGCTAATGTAATCGCCTGTGTGAAGAGTATTTGAGCTAAACAACTGTTGCCGCATGTCTTCTTTTAAATTCTACTTGTAGATACATTCACACACACACACACAATTACGTAGAGGCTAGCGGGGCCACGCCCCTCTTGCTGCAGCTACAAATACCTCAAGAAAAATCAAATGTATCTGCAAGATAAAGTATGTCATTTGGCTAATTCTGCTTGGCTGTTGGCTTTCAATTAATCTATAGTAAAAACATTGCCGCTTGTTTACAAAATTCACATTGGGGAAAAGCTGTTGCTCAGAGTTTATCAAAAAGAAATTGTCGCCAGGCGATCTATTTTTAAACGCACACCGAAAAACCCCATGAAAAGATGGCTAAAACAAATATAAACATGTATATATGTAATCGTACGTACGTTTAAAATCTTGATGATCCGTCATGTGCTCGCAAGAATTTCGTTTATAGCCATACGTTAATTGTAAATAAATTGCGTAGAAATAATTGTCGGCGCACATTTAAAGATAAGATTAAGGATGCAACAAAATCGAACCTAGCCCAAGCCATAAAAGAAAGACCCACAATCTTAACGAGGGCACAGCTTAAAATATTTGCTGTCCTCTGAGTTATCAGATATAAATATATATCTATTGTTAGATACATAATCTGGATTTGAGATCTTATCTGACTGGAAAGCCACTGAGAATGTGGCTAAGAAAGTAAAGGCCAGAGAAATGTAATTTTTAGATTATATTAAAAGTAATACATATTGTTATTGACAATGTAATTGAAACTTTTCAACATAATCTTCAAATCATCATTTAACCGTCACGCGCCACTTCGCCTATCGCCTTTCTAGGCGATTTTCATAAAATTAAGTATCCAACAACTACATGATTTAAGTTTCGTGCATATTGATATAGATTGTCATTGATATTTCCTTTTTCTCTATCTCTTAATTAGTAAGCTTGTGCTCTATTTAACTATCTTAGATAACACTACTTAGGACAAATTGTGACTACCTTGTGTATATATTCCTTTTAAACACTTTTTTTGGATGTAGATAAATACGAATGTTTGTGGCCCTATGAATGCTACTCATAACTTGATGAATAATACATGTACGTTTTATTTCAAGCTGCTTTTTACTTGAAAAAAAAAGGAAAACCATTGACCAAAATAAATTTGTGGTAATCTGTGCTAGCAAAGCATTTGATTTGAATTAAATGTCTGTCGCCAAATCGAACGAGTTTCGGGCCAGTTCGCTGCACGTACTTTTGCTCAACCAAAAGTTGAAGCAACTGTTTGTTGCGTTAATGCCGCGTGCCCTAATACCCGGCCGTAATCCCGTACGTGCCGCATTCATATGGATGCGCGCCGGCAGATACCCAACCGATTCGCATAAAAACAGACAGGCTGAAGTAGTTGTGTGGAATAAAGGTCGTTTGGAGCAGCAAATCGACCTTAAAGGGAAAACTTTGCTTTTCACACTTTCACAAATGTCAGTCGAAGCTGATATCAAAATGTGTTCTTGCGCCTCAGATTCTAATTTTAGGCAAGCTTCAAGGGAGCGCATAATTATAAACAAACAACGTAGTCGAAAAAAAAAAAAACAAAACAAAACAATGTGGTCCGACAGATAAAGCAGATTCAACCCGTGCATGACCTTTTCAGCTGAGGCAAACAAAACAAAAAAGAATGCCTGACTGGCAGATACCCAGCATACAGCATATTCACATATCAAATTTGTTCTTGAATTACTTCTACAGTCGGTTTCTTTTTGAAATTCTCTGGAATATCAGATTGGTTTGTCAGTGAATCTTCAAGCCTAGCAAATTTTGATAAGCGCGGAAAAGGTATATTATAAAAAAGACCTAAGCTCAGAAAGTTTAATTACTGATAAAATGATTTATACTTTTGCTATACAAAATATGAACCTATCCAAACTTTAAGCCGTTCACGCTTAGAGTCTCTGAGAGTATCTCTAGCTTATTTGGATGAACCTGGCAGAATCTTGTCTGTGCATAAATTAACTCAAAGCTGTCAAATCCAATTTTAGCAGCCAGATGATGCTACGACAAAGTACACGACGCTTACGCAAATTGTTTACAAGATGAGGACAAATATGTTCGGCACATAAATTGATTCTCGAGCAAAATTGCGATTCGCCGAAATTGCGCATTGATATTAAAAAAAAAGAAAAAAGGGCACGAGGCAAAAAATAGAATTGCGTTATCTGTGTGTAAACATGCGCCACATCTTTGTATCTCATATTTTATATCTGCATGTGACTCACTCGAATTGGGCAAATACAAATTGGTATTAAACAAAAAACTAATCTCACTTTGGGGTCACTAGCACAGGACCCAATAAACAAGATAATAACAAGAAGAAAATGCTGCTAACATGAATGTCAAGTCAAAGAAAAGCCAAACAAAAGTAACAAAAATGCCAGACAGTGCAATTATTGTTGCGGCTAACAATAGAAAGAAAAGCAAACAACATGTATGTTTACAAGAATCGTTGGCTTCAAAGTGCCGACAATTAAATACTTTTGCCGACAGCTTTCCAGTTTGTGGTCCTACCTAAATAGATGTGCAAGAAATTACAGAATTTTCTTATGTTAGAAATCTGCCAAGGTCAAAAGCATCAAAACTTATCTGTTAACAGTTCAATTTTATGTAAAGGCAAGTGAAATAATGTTATTTTAAGTATGAACCAAAAATCGTATCAGTTGCGCGAACCGAACCTAAATTCCGTTATTTGGTTCAGTCCGTGAACCGGCAATTTTTGTTTTTTTGCAGCCCTGTTTTATGCACACACAACTGTAGTTGATATATTTTATGGCATTGCCTTTTTTAATGCAACGATATTTTGCCATCGCTCTCTCTCTCTCTCGCCCTCTTTTGCTCTCTTATGTAAATGTTGTTCTTGCACTCACCTTGGTATGCAATTGGGCGGCGTTCGATCGACTTCCCAGGCGGCGAAGAGTTTCATAGGCACCGGCTTCTGTCCGTTGCTTGTCATATTGCTGCTGCCAGCGCCGTAGCCTCCGGTGCCGCCGCCGCCGCTGCCGATGCCGCTGGCTAAGCCCGCCGCTGTGGCTGATGCAGCGCTAACGGCAGCTGCATTGGCCGCTGCTGCCGCTGAAGCTGAGCCGCCGCTGCCGCCGCCGCCGCCGCTGCCACTGGCGACAAATTTATCCATCAATTTTGACGATTTGTCCACCATCTTCATGGTGAATTTGTTGTTATTGCTGTTATTATTTTTGTTGTTGTTTTTTTTTATTGTTGTTTATTGTATGTTGTGTGTTTGCTGTTAATTTCTGTGGCACATTATGAATCTAGCAAAATATATATAGTTACAGTTAAATTAGATTTTACGTTATTTCGTATTATGTAGCTGAATTTCTTATTTATTTATTTATTTTTTTTTTGTTTGTTTCGAAAGTAGCGTTTGGAGCGTGGCAAGCTTCTTTTTTTTAACGTACATCCAGTGTGTATGTATATGCAAGATTTCTTTTGCACTTTTTTTTTTTTATATTTTTGCCGTTGCAGCGATTGGGCGGCTGCTGTTGTGGGGCGCGCCAGCTGCTGGCTGCCTGCTGTGCTGCTCGCCCTTAACGGTCAACAAAGTGTTATTCGTAGTATACACAGAATCACGACGCATTCAAAACGAAAACGTGCAGGCGGGGGGGAAGTGGCGGTGCACACGAAACGAGAAGAGACAGAGGCAAAGCAAGCGCTAAGCGCTGCTGCAACTGCAAAACTCACACTCAAACACACACACACACACGAACACGAACACGCACACAGAGAATCAATAACACCACTTTTTTAGCTGGCACCCAATTTGAATCTGTTACAGAATTTTACTGATTTCGCTGGAGCGTCTAGGGGAGCAGCTCAGAGCTCTAACCGCACGTACGCGTTGTGTGCTATGCCGTTGGAGAAACAGAAACAACCGTCATGCTCCAAAGTAGCCGTGCGAATGTCGCGTTATAAATTTCTCACAGTCACTCAATTCGCATGCTGAAAACAGAGTGAGTGAGCGAGAGAGTGGGAAAGAGAGAAATTCGGTAAGCAACAAGCCCGTTGCTGGGGCGCGTCAAGAGCGCAAGCGGCAACAATAACAATGTGCGCACTCCCCCACAAGCAAACACACACACACACACACACACACACACACTACACATACGAGCACACACATTCACACAACGTTGGCGCTTTTTGCAAATTTTGTGTCCGTGTTCTGCTTGTTCGTGTGTTTATTCGCGCATTTTATGCTCTCCTACGCGCGCATAAACAAAAGGAAACAAAAGGCCCAATGAGTGACTTTATGTATGTGAGTGTACGTGTGTGTGTGTGTGTATGTGTGTATATACCTACAAATGTAGGAGAGCGCCTTAGCAGCAACAACGGCAGTCGCACCTTCCACAATTTTTAATTTAAATTTGGGTGCACATCGTTTATGTTTTCACACAGCAATCATCTCATTTGTTATTTACCTAATTTTATCACGTTTTATTGAGTAAAAAATCGCGGAACCATCAACAACGTCCGCTGCGCGTTCAGATAAACCCATACTAACAGCACCATACTAACACACACAGGCAACAACAAACAACAACTTAACAGTTACTGAAATGTTGTTAACAGTGACTGCAAACAACTTTTGGCAAAATGCTGAAAAGTTTATTTTTGTGAATGCAAGTCTTTATAAAATAGCAAAATATAGTTATGAATGATCTTAAATTGCAGCTAGTTATGCGAACAATAGCTTAATGTTTGAATATAGAACTGTTTTACTGGCAACAAATCACAATAGCTTACACAGCCGTAACAGAGTATTGTCTGCATTTACCAGCACTAAATTTATTCGATAACAAATCGCCGATGCTGCCAGGGCCTCACTCGTCTTTCATATCATAGCTTTGATGTAAACAAAAGACAATTTTCCGGCGACGCACAGAAAACTAACAAATAATGGCCGATGCGTGGGACATAAAGTCGCTCAAGACAAAACGAAATACGTTGCGCGAAAAGCTGGAGAAGCGTAAGAAGGAACGCTTCGACATACTATCTGACAAACAGGAGGATCAATCCAATCCAAAAAAGGAGCTCGGTAAGCGGCAAGCCGGCATCAAATAGAATTAATTATCTTAAATAACTGTTTTAGTTGAAGCCGATGTTGAGGTGCAAAAGGCAGTACTGCAGGCGCTCAGTGCCAGCACTCTGGTGCTGCCAATTGTCTCTACACAGGTGGTAAATAAAGTCGGCGGCCTCATGGAGAAGCCGCCAACCATGGAAATGGTTAACTTCATATTGGGCAAGCTTGCCAATCAAGGGGCCATCGGCATAAGGAATGTCACGATTGGCACGGAAGCGGGCTACGAGGTGATTTCCGTGCAAACCAAGGAGCTCTTGGAGATTTATGACGATGTCAACGACAGTTGCCAGCAGAATGAGGAAAAGGATGTCAAGCGAAAGTGTAAGAAACAGCCCGAAAGTCGCATATATATATTATTTACAACTAATACCAATTACCCAGCAGTAGAGTCCGGACAGGATGAGCTGAGCGATGCTGAGCGTTTGCAGTGTAAAATGCTAAAAGTTGATGCAGCTGCCGGCCGCAAGGAGTCCACCAGTCTGGATGCCTCAGACGACATCATGATGCTGCTCTCCCTGCCCTCAACGCGCGAGAAACAGAGCAAACAGGTTGGCGAGGAGATTCTCGAGCTGCTGACGAAGCCAACGGCCAAAGAGCGCTCCGTAGCTGAAAAGTTTAAATCCCATGGCGGTGCACAAGTCATGGAGTTTTGCTCACATGGCACCAAGGTCGAGTGTCTCAAGGCACAGCAGGTGGCCAACGAGATGGCGGCCAAAAAGAAACTCGAACGTCGCGAGGAGAAGGAATTGCGCGGCGCTGATGTGTCCATTGGCAGCAGCACCAAGCTGACCAAGCTGGGTACCGAGGATGCCGAAGATGGTGAAATCATTGCCGACACCCTAAACAACTGTGAGGGTGAATCGCAGGAGTCTACGGATGACAGCGAAACTTCCGGCGACTCGGACAAATGCACAAAGTTGCACTTTAAGAAAATCATTCAGTCGCACACGGACGAGTCTCTGGGCGATTGCAGTTTCCTTAATACCTGCTTCCACATGGCCACCTGCAAGTACGTCCATTATGAGGTGGACACGCTGCCGCACATTAATACCAATAAGCCGACGGATGTGAAGACCAAGCTCAGCCTGAAGCGCAGCGTTGACTCCAGCTGCACTTTGTATCCGCCGCAGTGGATACAGTGCGATCTGCGATTTCTGGACATGACTGTGCTGGGCAAATTTGCTGTCGTTATGGCCGATCCGCCATGGGACATACACATGGAGCTGCCCTATGGCACCATGTCCGACGATGAGATGCGCGCCTTGGGCATACCAGCGCTGCAGGAGGAGGGTCTCATATTTCTCTGGGTAACTGGGCGCGCCATGGAACTGGGTCGCGATTGCCTCAAACTGTGGGGCTACGAGCGCGTCGACGAGCTGATCTGGGTGAAAACGAATCAGCTGCAGCGCATTATACGCACGGGCCGCACCGGCCACTGGCTGAATCACGGCAAGGAGCATTGTTTGGTCGGCATGAAGGGCAATCCCACAAATCTGAATCGCGGCCTCGACTGCGATGTCATTGTGGCAGAAGTGCGCGCCACCAGTCACAAGCCCGACGAGATCTACGGCATCATCGAACGCCTCAGTCCGGGCACACGAAAAATCGAGCTCTTCGGCCGGCCACACAACATACAGCCCAACTGGATAACGCTGGGCAATCAGCTGGATGGCATACGTCTGGTCGATCCCGAGCTGATTACCCAGTTCCAAAAGCGTTATCCCGACGGCAACTGCATGTCGCCCACGGCGGCGGCGGTAAATGCAATTAAAAATTAAACAAAATACACGGACAAGGATTAATATATGTTATCAAGGTTTTTATAAATACGAGTACGTTAAGATTAAAGTAAATATTTAAATAGATTTTATTGCTCATTGGGACTTTGCGCGTATTTACAGGTGTCGGCGCGCTAAATGATTAATGGGTATCTATATATATATATATATATATTAAATCTATGTATTTATATATAGTACATAGAACAACAGCTAGTTAGATACGATGATAATCACGGCATTAAATGCGTGATAGCTAATAATGGGCATAAATAGGACGTAAACTAATAAGACTTATCGGAGAGTACAGCGTTAAGGTTTATATTATACATATATATACATACATACATATATATTTAGACACATGTATATATATATATGTATATGCTTGTAGAAATGCAACGTATGAAGTGTTTGTGTGTGTGTGTGTGTGTGTGTCTGTGCAATCCCCCCCTGCATTGTGATACCCTCACTCAAGTGTTTCCTATGCCTGTGGGTAGCTTCTTATGTACATGACTCGGTTTAGTTTTTCATTTGGACACGAAAAAGTCCCTTTTGAAAATCTGCCAATAGTTTCGCGTGGTATTTTAAACAAGAAATTTTGATATTATAAAGATCAGAAATGAAGGGAAAAAAGTCAAACGAAAATACACGAAGGTTACATCAATTTCTGAACATTTGGTGTGTATATCTATATATATATATATGTATATATGTGTGTTTGTGTGTGTGTGTGTGTGTGTGCGCACTGTTTGCCTGGGCAGTTACGAGTTGGTGTCATCTATCCAAATCCTCAACGTGAATGCGTTCCAGTTGCACTTATCGCCTTCAGCACCATGAAGCCCAGCAGCGTGGCGGCGGCCACGCCCAGGCCGGCTTTTAGCCAAACCTTTGGATCCTCTGTCATGAGTCCGAATTGTCGCAAATATCTAAGAGAATGTTGTAAACAAATTGTTGGATTAGTTTCAGCTACAAATTCAGAAGATACAATTGGAGTTTTCGGAATATGTTGTTGCATACAAAAAAAAAACACATTTAAATAAGCGTGTGTTCGGGTGTGTTTTTGTGCGGAAGATGGGCATGGAATTACTGTCGCAATGCATGTAGAATATAATAGTATAACAAGAAACCCAGACAGCATTAGTAAATATTTAAGTCAAATATGTAACACTTACGCCGATTCCCACAGCTGTACCAACCTGTGCTTGTAGAACAGTATCCAGGCGGCTTGAAAGCGCCTACGGGCGAGAGGCAGCAAGTCCACGGCGCAGAGCAGCAGAGTCCATAAGTATTAAGGATGCACAAACATCAACAAAACACAAACAAGTACACCAACACAAAGACGTAGTGGTTAGGTGGGGGGGGCGGGGAGGAGGGAAATAAGAGAAGATAATAATAATATAGCCATTAATCCAAATATATGCGAAATGCAGATGAAAGTGTGACAACAACTCAAGCCCAAGCCCGATGAGCGTGCTCATTGAATGACCGTAAATTCCAACTGAGAAAAGCATTTGAATACTCACGGAAACGCTGCCATTGTGGCCAGCTTTGTGTAGAGCTCCTTTTTGTTGGTCTTCAGGCTGAACAGATGCGGCGGCAGCAGCTTGTATTTCTCACAGAATTCCGACGGTTGCATCAGATAGTCCTGGCGACGCTCGTCCAGATCACACTTGGTGCCAACAATCATGACGGGTATTTTGCTTTCGGCAAAGTATTTAATGTAAATGCGTGCAACATACTCAAAGGAGCGCGGATTGGAGGCATCGTACACCAGGCAGGCGACATCGCAATTCACTTCCTGCGGCTGCAGCGGATCGAGCGCATGTCGCACATCAATGTCGCGCAATATTAAATGCTTCTCCTGGCCATAAACCTGCACCGAGTTGATGCAGTGAACAACATTGGTCTTGAACTCCTTGCCCAGCAGCTTGCTCATGTCGTCGATAAGAAAACCGCGACACAGTCCAGTCTTGCCCGAACCCTTGGGTCCGATCACATGGCACTTGTACACGGAGCGACTGCTCTGCCGCTTGGCCAGATCGATGCGGCGCTCGCGTGTCACATGTATGGCCACCAGTTGGCTGTCGTTCTCGTGCACATTGAAGCCCAAATAGGCCAAATACTCTAGCGTCTTGACCACGTCCGTCAGTGTCATTAGTGTCCAGCGGCAGAGCCAACCATGCAGGGTCACCCAGCCGTTGTCATTGGTTGGACACGATTTGCGTATATCCGTCGAGTAGGACCATGGCGGCGTTGGGCAAGTGCTGAATAACATTTTGTGCTCCTCCGGCGACAAGGCACCGTCTCCGTCGCGATCGTAGCGCTCAAAGACCGCTATCAAAAACTGTTGACCGCGATGCGAAAGCTCCGTGCTGCTGCCCGGCGGTATTTTCAAAGGCGGCCGCAAATACTCCTTGCACATCTCCAATTGATCGTTGTAGCCAAACCGTCGGAGCACCGCCCACGTCGTCTCGTTCCGGCCACGCTGTATGAACAGGCAGTGCAGAAAGAGGAAGCCCTGAAGCGTCACGGCATCGTTATAGATGCCATCCGGCACATTCTTCTGTATCACGGACTTCACCTCGTCCAGTATCTGTGGCTGCAGCGGCGTATTGAAGCAGCGCCTTTGGAACAGGTTCAGCTCGTAATCATTGAGCAGATTGTCACTATCAATATCGCATATCTTAAATATGCGCACCAGCGACTTTTTGCAGGCAGGTGTTAGCTGAAAACAAATTGAATTTGAAAATTGAACACTTATCTTCGGGTTAAAGGTTAAATAATCTTGTCATGAAAGCGGCCATATACAATATAGTTGCTGATGGAACGTTACTACAGCTACGTTTTAATATTGCACTCTGATAAAGTTATTTTTGAGATATCTTCGGATAGCCGAAGACCAATCAGAATTAATCTATTAGAGGAAGAATTATGTATTTCGATAAAGAAATGAGTATGGCTAGTTGGGTTAAGATCTTAAGATTGTGCATGAACAAATTGAATTTGTTGGAGCTATGTGACAAAGTACTTGATATTGAGGCGATTATGCGGGTTTTTTGGGAGCAGATGCTACTTTGTCAAGTTAAGAGAACTTGAGATTTTCCATTAAAGGGATATCAATTTGCAAACTATCGTCCTAGGAGTCGTCTCGGCTGTGCCTGGCCCACAAAGTGCAAATCTACGCCAAAGACTAGATGCCATCATAACAGAAAGACGGAAGAGCATGATTATACGGACGTACATTGATTGGATTGGAGACGTTTGCTTCCTATTTTCTATCAAAGTTATAGTACCCTCTGCAAGGGTATAAGCGTAAACATGTTAAAGCACCTCCCCAGAGCAATAATTCAGCCGGATTGCACTTACATTTTGCTCCTCCATGATGTACAGCGGTGAGGTGGGATGCAGCACCGCCTTTTGTGCATAGTAAAACATTTCGGAAATGTTGTGCAACGTCTTCGCTGAGCATTCCACACAGCTCTCGATCTCTGGATAGTCCTCCATAATGGCCAGAACGCTGTCAATGGTCGAATACTCGATCAAATCGATTTTATTCCCTACCAGCACAATTGGCTTGCGCGCCACATCGGGCTCGCCGTCTGTGCTGGAGCTATTGCTGTTGCATGTGGAGCGGACCAGAGGCAGCCAGTGCGATGTGATGCGGTCGAGAGAGTCGTCATCGTCAACGGCATACACAATACAGACGACATGCGCTTTGTTTATCTCGACGGCCAGTGCGTCATCCGATTGCTCCACACTTGAAAAGTCAACGATATTGGTGGGCACCTGTTCGGGCGTTACGTTTGCCGGTATTGTGATCTCCTCGGCGCGCGGCGGCACCTCCTCTGGATACTCCTCGCTGACCAGGGACAATATTAACGATGTTTTGCCAACTCCAGCATCGCCGACAAGTAAAATTCTCACGTTCTTGCGCTGCGACGCCGTGTATTGTCCCATTTTGTTGTTTTGTTATTCTCTTTGTAAGTACACAACGCTTATCGCTTTATGTAACCGTTTATTCTTTTTTGTAATTTTGATTACTTTCGCTTGTGGTTGTACGGTAATTTTAAAAGATTTTGTTATGCAAAAACCGCAGATACAGCCGAGACGGCAGCTGTTTTTATAAAGACACGCGTATCGATACCTCAAAACATCGAAATTTTCAAAGCGACAACAACCCTAGAACAACCCATGTGGTGCTGCCGGACCAATTGCCTATTTGAAAATAATCAAGTTGTGATTAATGTTTGTTGCATTTGCTGACCTTAAAATCAAACTATATTTAATTTACACAGCTATTATATCTAAAAACAGCGTTTGCTGATCTATTGAAGTTTCAATAATATTCAAATCGTAAAACTCAAGCCGTCTGGCAACTACGTCAACGACGGAGACGGAGACGGAGACGGAGAAAATTTGTTTGGCGAGTTGAAACGGCACAAAAAACGGCGCTCAATAAATACATATAGAAAAATGAGCAACAACAATTAAACAACAAATAGCGCGCGTCGTGTGTTCCATTTCAGTTTATTTGTTTTCAGTCATTATTTAATCGCGTACGCGTTCGCGTTCTGGTTTTATCGTCTTTGTGTCTGAGCTGTGAAAGCAGAGAAGAAGAGTGAGGCAAAACTTCGATTCTCAGTCGATGGGGGTGGAGGCGGTGGCGGAAGGTGTTGCGAAAAGAGAATTGCTTAGAAAATAGTCAGGTTTGGGGTGCTGCGGCGCGGAATCAATATCGATGGTACGCACCAAAAACCAATCGTCCTCGTCCAGCGCTAGCAGCAGCACCAAATCGCCGGTCAAGATTAGCGGAGGCGGCGGCGGCGGCGGCGGCAGCAGCAGCAGCACCAATCGCAGTCGCAGCTGCAGTGAAGCTTTAATCGATGACGGCAAGTCCAGTTCGAAGCTGTCGTCGAATCGTCAACGCACCACAACAACGATAACAACAACAACCACAACACCGGGCAGTTCACCAGACGACGACACCACCGATGCGGATTTGACGCCGACCAGTGGAAACGTGCCGCGAGGCGGACAATCGGTGCACAAACAAAATCTCTACGTTGTTTCATTTCCCATTAT